GGGTAGCCAAGCTCCCCTGGCTCCCCCCCATTTTGAACAGTGCATTTGCACACATCTTGTGTCCATATCTCTCTGTTTTGGTGGTCATGCCACAACCGTGCATGCATGCGCGAGTCATAGTGAGTGTCTGCATTTTGGGGGGGGCGCCAGCTAAAATGTTGCCTAGGGCAGCAAATTGGTCAAGGCCGGCCCTGCACAGATGCCAATGTTATTTCCCTAGTCACTACTGGGGACATTGACTGTCATATACATAAATTCAGCTGAACACACACACACACATTAAGGACCAAAATGAAAGATAGGGGAAGAAAGCTGGACATCTTAAACCTGGTTTGGAACAAACCTGGGCTGTACTTTGCTGCTGTTGGTGGGGAGGAGAGCGGCGAGGAGGAGAGGAGGAGGTCCATTTGATCGATAAGCCTTTGATGATCAAGTGAGGCTGCGTGCGAGCTTGTTTGCTTTCATGTTGCTGTTTACAAATGGCTTTCAATAACTCAAGTGAAATCCAGCTAATGCTCACAGCATGCTGGCCGACAGACGATATGTCACAGCGGTTTGAAATGTCGGAGGCAACTTACCAGACCGAGGTACACTGCATAAGTCTGAAAGACGACATACTGTATGTGTGCATTCATGTGTGTCTGTGTGCATGTGTGTGTGTGTGTGTGTTTGTCTGTGTGTGCGTCAAAGCTGTATTAAGTCTTTGAAAGCTTGGCTGAAGTGCGGATGTATATGAATATATCTGAAAAAAGTTTTTAAAGTTATTTTATTTTGTACACTGAGATGGATACGCCTGTGTGTGTGTGTGTGTGTGTGTGTGTGTGTGTGTGTGTGTGTGTGTGTGTGTGTGTGTGTGTGTGTATCAGCACTACAGAGGGGCAGATCTGGTGCTACTTGCGGGGCCTCCTGCTGTGTTACAAAGTGAATACCTTATCACTTAAAGGCAGAGCTTCAACGCGCTCCACTCCACATTAACACACACACACACACACACACTCACACACGCACGCACGCACGCACGCACGCACGCACGCACACACACACACACACACACACACACACACACACACACACACACACACACACACACACACACACGTACCTCATGTGTATGCTACATGGCTAGCTGTGAAGCTAAGATCAAACTGCGAACCCACATCTAATGTGGAGACATGTGAAAATAAAAACGCACTGCTTCTGTACAGGAGTGTCGAAGGGTGGGAGGTTTGGGGGTGGGGGCAGAGATGGTGTGGGAGTAGGGTGGAGGGGGTTACGTTAGAGATACGGTGGTCTGCATTCATTAAAACATGAAGAAGCCCTCAGATTTGCAGTAGGAATTTTGAAAATGTTAACAAATTTGAGAAAAATGATCAGGATCAGAACAAAGGCAGCTCAATCACCTGAACGTCCCACAACACAACAGTCATGTGGGATGGAAGTTAGCCGTGGTCAAGACTATCTAAGATTTACTTATTAAATATATAATAATGTAATATGTAATATAAAGCGCTTTGAGCATTCGGAGAAGCACTCTAATAAATGTAATTAATTATTATTATTGTTATTATTATTCACTATCCTGAAGTTTTTCTTTCACGTATTGCTAGAAAGCTGAGTTCTTTTCATGCAAAAGCACCCCTGTAGATTTTGATTGTGCTTATACACATTACTGATTGACTTATTTTCGGAAATCAGCATAAAACAATGATTTAATAAATACCCGTTGACTTTCTCAATGCTTGTTCATGGGAGAGTATTATCATTGGTACCTGCAAATTACAAAGTATAGTTTAGATCTAAAGATATGCCAATTGTTATGAAGAAAATCGTCCCATACTACATGAAAAGCCCAATTCTTGAAACCACTTCACCTGAAAACACCCGACACACAATCCAGCCGATGTGATTATTACACACATGCAGTATATACACAAGTGTGAAAAAATGCACACACATCACACCTCACCTTCAGCGCATGTACAGACACAAACACACATTTTGCTACTTGACAGATTCTACACATATGGCTGAAAACATACACACACACCCACATCTGTGCACGGCTGCTCGGAGCCTTCAAAAGTAGCTGCGGCTCCGTTTCACGTGCTGAGGTCGATGTAGCCGTTTTGCTGTAACATTATAGCCGCAAAAACGTCCATTTATGTTTCCTCTCTTCCTCGGGGTAATTAGCTGGCCTTGAAGTGGCTTTCGCTGCGCCTTCCTTTTTTTACACACACTCAGGGAGGCTGACTGAGAGCACTCATTTAACCCATAATTATCAACCCCTCTGTATTTAAAAAAAAACCCCCCCCCCCCCCCTTCTCATCCCACCACAAACATACACTCACACAACTTAAACATAATTACCTTAGCTGAAACAGACGAGTGTGTACATGTATGTGAGGGACACACACACACTCGCAAAAGATCAAATGACGCTTGGGCATCTTTTGAAACGGAAACTAGCTCAGTGTTTTTGGTATAAGAAGAGTAACACATATGTTCAGGTGCACACACACACTTACACACATATAAACACATGCAATGGGGGAAAAGTTCATACTCCCTTTAATTAACAGAAGTACAGTTACCCACCCTTAAAGGGAGACGTTAATCACTAGAGAGCAAATTCAGAGTACAAATCCATAGTAAATACAGGTTTTTTGGAATGTGACCAATTTAACCTTGGTTCATTTCTGGAATATTAAAATAGTATGCACACTAGGCTCTCTGGCTAAAGAAGCACTGCTTATGAATAAAGACCACTGTGCTACTTCAGATGTGTTAAGAAAGTGGGAAATAAAGTAACTGTATTTTCAGATGTTCAGAGGGAAGATCTTCACATTTTGAATGTTTCTGAAATCAACAATATTCCCGACTGGACCTTTTCCTCCCTTTATTCCCTCGTATTCTTCGCTTTCAGACAATCCAAACATCTGGAATTTCAGAAAGGCTGAGGTTCAAATGTGCTGCTTTACTGGAGCACTGATAATGACAGAGGCATGTTGTGATGCAGTACTGCACACATACACTAAGAAATGCGGATGAGAAGTAGAAATGTTTCTCACATTTTAACCGCATGCAAATGTAATTGTGACCATCATTAAGTGGTAGGTGTATCATCCTGATGTGTGGTCCTCAGCAACATTCCTCTGTTTGTTTGCAAATGAAGTAAAATAGCCTCCTTTAAATCCTCTCTGCAGGAAATATTAATCTTATGTCTTGAATTAACTCTACATATAGGGTGACATTGGTATCAGCAGATAAAGGCTTAGTTGAGAAGTTGTCCAGAAAAAAACATTGTATTTTATCTCTGCATCTAGGGTTAGGTGGGAAAAACATCGGTATTGTCGGCCATCAGCCAAAACGGATGAAAAATATTATCTTCCCGATTACAAACGTTTCATGAGGTGGGAAATCCATGTGTCAGGCCTCAAGGATACACACACAATGCATGTCAGTTAGAACATATAAATATATATGTTTGTTGTAATCTCCACTAGTTGGTGCATAATGGCGGTTGTTTGAAACATTCATACATGGGAAGGGTCAGAGCGCGTATCACTGTGCATACATTAATCATGTAAGCAGCCGTAAACATGAAGAACCCCACTCTCAGACAGCAGCAGCACTGAATAATAAATTATCTGCTTGTTGATTACATCAAAGACGTGATTTCTTCAAAGACGCGATTACTTTAAAAATTTCAATTAGATATTAACACCTTTTTAAGTGCGTCAGGAAATCGTACATGTAGCCCTCCGTCTCTCTGTAGTCTAATTTCACTTGAAAGGCCTTTGATTCATCTGGATATTGTTGCTGCCTTTTATCTCCACTCTATTTGAACAGAAATCTGCCGCTGAATACAAGAGTTAATGGGATCTCAGACATCACTTGTTTGTAATGATGGCCCTCCACCTTGACCCTGACACACACACACACTTGTACATATGCATTTCACATACACAAGCGTGCAAAGAAACGCAGTTGCATGCTTATGAGTGCACACACACACACACACACACACACACACACACACGCACACACACGCACACACACACACACACACACACACACACACACACACACACACACACACACACACACACACACACACACACACACACACACACACACACACACACACACACACACACACACACACACACACACACACACACACACACACACACACACACACACACGCACACACACGAGCACGCTTTCATTTAGAGGACCTTATGCTGATAAAACACCTCTAATGTATTCTTCAGCCTTCAGATGACACACTAAGTAGATACGTCTCTTTTTCTACATTTGAAGCGGAAATTAAAGCGTCCTCTCTTTTGTTCGCCCCCTTCAAAATGCTTTTGAGACTAAT